GTGTTGATGCATCATCTTTTTTCATACTTAACAGTGAGAATATTAGGACTAGAAGACACAAATATAAATTTTGGCAAGGTAGGAGTCATCTTCAGCAAAGAGAGTTTTATTTTTCTAACATGGTGGTTGGCCTTTGGATGTTGTGGAGGCAGTAAATTTTAGTGAGTTTAACAGAAAGTTTGATAAGTATGTGAATGATAAGAGCTAGCTTCAAGATTAAAAAAAATGTATTTATTAATAGTTTAGAGGATGGAACAGTTGAGATGAATCAATAGGTTCCATGTTGTTTCAAAACGTTATGTTATATTAATTATGATTCTCTAATGACTTTTACAACACAGATTAATTCATAATGGTTTAACGTTTTGCTTGTTATAGAAGATAAAGTTAACTGCAGATGTATTAATTACATTATTTCTGTTGTAGAATGCCTATGAGGTAAGGATTAATAATAATAATAAAAAACTACATTAATATAATCTAAATCATAAGTAACCTTAAAAGTCTATCCACAAGTTCACCCTCAATGTGTGATTAGACCACTATTGAGAATTAATTTTTTTAAGTTTAAAGATCAAATCTTGTTCTCTCAACAGTCACATGTCATTTATGAATTCTGTTGCCCAATGTGGGGTACCTATGTTAGCTTAACAGTCAGAAGAGTAGATCATTTAAAAGAATACTCTAATTCTAGATTCAAAAACAGTTCAAACATTGTTCAATATGTGCTAGGTGAATGTGTTGTGGTTACATTCCCCAAAATATTCAAATTAATCATTAAATCTAAAAATGAAACTATGCTACAGTGAAGGATATGCTTCAAAAGAAGCCAATATTAAAGAATAAGCTTAGTGATACTGAACTTTTATTCACATTAATGTGTGTGTTTTATACCTTGAAATTGAAATTTGGTTTTATTAGTCAATACTTTTATTCATTTTCAAAGAAGTTTTTAACATTACAATTCTAGAACTTCAGACATGTTCAGTTAACTTATTATTTTCTTTTTTACTTCTAAGCTCAAAATAAAAAATTACACTTGAGATAATATGTTGCTAGATAATCTTTATAATTATTACCTAAAAGTATAAAAATTACTAATGAAAAATTTAATAACCTGTTTTTTTTAATTTCATAGTTTGATTTTTTATTATGTATTAAGACACATTATAAGAATACTAATTACAAATTTTAACTTTTATTAAAGTTCAAAAACCTTAAATAACTTGAACTCAAAATGCAATAATTGTCAATAGCATTAGAAATGAAAACCATTTAATTAAGCTCTGAAAATACATAATATGACAACAGCTCAAATAAAATAAACAATAGTAAATACAATTCATATAAACAGATATAATCCTGTTTCCACTGGTCACACAAAATATGATGACATAAACAAAGATAATTATGTTTAAGTTGACAAATGACACAAAATAGTGGATTAGGTTTCATAAATACCTGCACCTTAAATTTTGAAGTGGTGGAAAGGTGCAAAAATATAAAATCCTAAAAGTACTGTCTGTGGAAATCTCATGTACAAGTGTTTTCACAAACATCCAATATATTCTTAAGCACAAATGTATCAATTATCAGCAAGTAAAACAAGGAATCAACATTTTGGCAGTTACGAATTACATATTATATGAAAACATTTAATAATAAGCATCATACAGTGAAGTCTATTATGATGAATAAGAAACACTAATTTTTCAAATGTAGCTATCATTTGAAAACTTTACCAAAGAAAATCGAAATTTTAGTTCCAATTAACATGTTTACACACAGGATACAACTGGTGTGAATTTTAATTAAAAAAGAATCGGAAAGTTAGAAAATTGTACGAAAATGTTTTTGAAATACTAATTTTGGGGACTTAAAATTCTCATAAATGATATCAATTTATAACTATCAGTCTCTTATAGGTTTGGTTGTATAAATATGCAATAATTTCCAAAACTGCTTCTCACTTTTTTGTGTAATATTATTTAAGATGTAACCAGGTGTCAACATTCTAGTGTTAAACATTAGGCAAAATAAAATTACAAAGTTAAAGTCAGTGAATCCAAAATCTTATTTAAAAGTAGGAACTCCCACTTAACTTGGATGTGTTTTGATTGGCAGATTATATTCAAAAACAATTTCTACAATTTTTAAAAATGTTGACATTTTATGAAGACTACTTACTTAGCTTATTACTTGAATAATAACAGTTTTTTTTTGGAGCCAGGTTACATGCCTTGCAATTTTTTTCTTTTTTCAGAACTATAACTTAATTTAAACTTTAATAAAAATTAATTTGATATAATGATTTCATGAATTTTTTAACGAAAAGTATAACCTACTACATTTAACTTTTTCAAAAACTCATGCTAATCTTAATAAATACAACTTTAAGTAAAATGGTGTAAACTAATCAAGAATATACAAACAGTCATGAGAATTGTGTATCAGATTTTTGCTTTACATGCCTTTTTAAACAGCTCATGGATTGTACCATGCAAATAGAAAACAAGTTATTCATAGTTTACTTGGGATAACATCATAAGAAAACACATACGAAATGGTGACAACATTTCTGGCCTCAGAAGTTTAAATTATTCTAATATAACATTTTATGCAACCAGAAAATAGATGTTAAGCTTTTATACCTTAATAGTAAGTCAATTCACTAAAGAGAGAATGTATTTCTATTTCATATTCTCTGGCCAGTACTGGATGTAGTACCGTTGAGTGGTTCCTTCAAACAACCGGTCCAACCAATTTGATAATCTGTCAAGCAAATGCTCCTGAAAGAGTATGTTGTATGACTCTACATCATCATCTTCTCTCTTTAAGAACCCTCCTGCTTCAATGTCGCTACTCTCTGATTCACTGTAGCTTTCTTCAAACCCCATAAAATCCCCACTAATACCATCTACTTTTTTGGATTGCTAAAGGAAAATAATAATTCCAATCAGCAATATTCTTTGGAGAGAGAAATTAAAACCTCATAGATGATTCAGTATTTAGAGGAAAATCTAAATTTATGTTTTAGATAACTTTACTAAGTTCTAAAGTCAGATATGGAAATTAGTAAAATACATATTTAATTTATAAAGCTAATAACATAAATTCTGAATTCACAGAAATTACAAAATTAACTTATAAAAAACTTCAAATTTCATTCAGTGTAACATAATGTCATTGATTACTGTTAATTACTGAACAGCATTCAAGTAATGTTGTGCTTAATTAAATTTTAAATAAGCCTGTATTTGTGTTTTTAAAAATTGTATTTCCAGAGTAGAAATATAAGTCTTTTTCAAAGCAAGATGCTATATGTTAACAGAATGAAAATAAGTGTAAAAGAATAATGAGAAGCTTTAAAATGTTTGTCACTTGATAAGCATCTAACTTATGAATCAAGTAAATCTGGGTGAATGAAAAGGAAAGATAAAACCACCAAGAACATACACATTTATAATGTGAAAACATTTCTATTAACCTTTACAAAGTTAATGAAAACAGTCGATTGAAAATAAAATCAATAATTATATAAACCTGCAATTTAGGATATTAATATTGCACTGAAAAATATTCACAATTTCTTTAATGTTAGTTTCATTAACATCATTGGTTAAAATGTTATATTTTTTCATTACATATTTTTGTTGTCAGAATTATTTTGCATTGTTGAGTATGTTTAGTTAGAATAGTATATTAAATTAAATACACCCAATACTGGGTTAATTTTTAGTTCTAGTCTATTAGAAAGCTCACTTCACTTGTAAGTTGATAATAAAAATACAACTTGCTAGAAATGTGCATTTTTATCAAATAGAAGCCTGAATTAAGTCCTAGCTCGAAGTCAGTGTACATTTCAGGTCACTTTGTACTAACTTTACTACTGAAATCCAAAAGCAAGGTTGAAATAGGTAGACTTTATAGATATGTAGAATCATCTGCAAAGTTGATTGCATTTTTGAGTATAATCATTACTACTTAGAAAATGTGATATGTTCATTTTTTTAGTACATTGCATAAAACAATTTAAGGGTAATCAGAATTTGTAATAATATAATTAAGCCATGACAAAATCACAGCTATAAAATAATATATATCAACTCCCACAATTCATTATGTAAGTCATCTTCTGATAATCAGTCACATAATCTGAAATGCACACAAATGACTGATCATTAATTCAGCAAATACAATATCTAGTGTTCTCATTGTCTCATCAAATTCAAGTTCAAAGTGTGATTTTACAAACAAACCATGGTTGGACATCAAAGAAATTGTCTGAATGTTTTACTCATATTAGAGAACCATAGAAAGAAAGTAAGCTGAACAATCACAGAAGGCTGTTCCATACTAACTACACATATTTCAAAATGTCATTAGAAGAATGTGGGACTGTTTCCAAAAGTGTTTATGACTGCTCAGACAAGTGAATAAAATGGGTCATCATTTATATTGCAAACAAATGATCACTATCTGTTGATCCTGGCTCACTGAAGTTGTAAAATACCTGCTCCAGGACTAAATTAGATATTCACTACCTTAAATTAATGCTGTATTAGTGTACATTGTTATAGAAATACTACACAATTAAATTTATCAACTTTATTATCGATGCATGCCAATAAATTTGCCACCAAAGTATAGTTTGTAATTAAATTTTTATATTATCTATCTTTTAATTTATTAATTTCAACAGGAAATAATAATAAATTCTCAACCTTTATTTTCTGTATCACGTGACATTTCTGTGCTCTCCTTTTGAAAATTTATATCTTCAATAATAGGTTGATACTGTTTTCAACCAATTAGGAATATAAACTATGGACAATTAAAAGCATGTATCTAAAATATGAATCTCCTGCTTTTTTAATTTGCTGATATATCAATAAATTTGTCAAACCTACCAGAGAAGCATGTCCCCTGCTTATTTGTATCTTTATATTCTTTGCTAATAGTTCTTACAAGATTGATGGGTATGTTTATAGCTTAAAAAAGAGAAGTCTACCTTCTATAACACATTTAGAGTGTTGTTATTAGATTTTCCATGTAAATCATTAGTTAGCAGATATGTTTAGCTTTGATGATTGTAGTCCTTTGATTGAGTGCTTACAGATTTTGTAACCTACTTATAACATACTTAGAAAGCCACATAAATTACTGTTGTTTTGGAACATTCTATTCTGGGGCATTATATATTTTTTGTGTTTTAAAATTATTTTTTGGGCAACCAACATAGTGAGAAAAGGGTAAGATTATTCAACCAAGACATCCAAGTGCAAATGGCCTCACAGATATGCTAAATTTCTTGTTTTTATGTATATATTTATTTATTTATTCTTATATATTTTTAAACAAAAGTAAATAAAATGTAAAATTAGAGATTTCTTAGCTTAGGTTGCAACACTTAAGTAAACAATTTCATGAGATCAGTTGATAGAGAAACATGCAGTATCTGTGTGATTGTAACCTGGTCATTTGTTTACCCTAAACTCTACCACTATTACTTTTCACAAATGTGAAAAGGTTAGATTTTGACACTGTCAGGATAAATAAATGTAAGTGACTGTTACAATCTGCAGTCATTCTAGAAAAAAAACATATTGATTTTATTACATATTTTTCAACTTTTCATTTTACTATACATTGATTATTTCATACAAGTTAGTGTTATGCTTAAAAAATACAAAACTATAAGATGAAAAGAAGTAATTTGATTCTAAGTATGAAAATCACCTTTTACTCAGAATGGCTCTTAATGACTTCACAGACAAATCTTCAGTAAAATTTGTTTCTTAAAAATATACTTTTTTTTTTGTATCCAGATTTCATGGAGACAGTAAATTCAGAGCTATAGTATGTATAGTTTCACTTTCAAGAGTTAATGTCACAAGTTAAAGGAACCACAGCACTGACCTTCCTGTAGGTATGGATGGGTACAAATCATCAAAAAATGTTTATTTCTGATTTTGCTACATCAATATATCTACAGGTGTTTCCAAGGTTATATAGAGGTACATATATGTAATTGCTTGTTCTTGTACAAAGTGGTAGTTCAAAATATTATTCCATACATGAATCTACATGTATGTATAGTAAACAAAAGAATACGCAATGTGACGCAACACAACATATAGTAATAGCACATACAACATACAGAATGTATACATGCAATATTTACAAAGAAAACACTATAACTGAAGAACTACCTTTACCAATGATCACCAACAAAGTGATTCCTGAAACAACTACGAATTATATCTAACTTGATCAATTTCACTCATTCTGACTCAACCAACAATGTCAATGAGGTGATGTTCTGTCATGGTGCTCACTCTTGAAATGCTTTATTGCAGAGAAAAAGTATTCACAAGAACAAACTGTGACTAGCAGAGTTTGAATCAAGTGATAAAGGGAGCTCAAGTTTGGATGCATTGTTGTGAACCCCTCCTTTACCATATGCAAGTAAATATGATGGATTATTTTCACTTTTTTTTTTCAGACAATTTCTGTAACTGATTCAGCAAAAGCTCGTACCTCGAAACCAATAGTTCAAAGTTTATGTCACCTATGTAAATGTGGAAGGTAGCCAAAGTCTGCAACATAGGGGTTGTTTCTGCATTAACAGACACTAAACAGTCAGTGGACATCAAGAGAAGCAACAAGTTTTAAAAAAAATTTGAATTCTTAGCATCCAGCATTAAATTCAATGCTTCATAAAAGAATAACATGATTTGAAATGTGAATCCAATATACAGAAAACCTTTATAGTGCAGGATTCTGAATAAATAACATGAATACTATCTGCTTTTCTTCCAACTGATACAAAATAATGTTCAAAATTTCTCTCATTTCTTGTGCTTTCAGATTTTGAAATTAAGATATAAACCTGAGATTGTTGTGTATCCAGATGAACTGGATTGACGTCAGAGCTATTGGATATATACATTAAGTAACTGGCAATTCACTCATATTAATTACAGAGTAATATTAGAACACTTACTAACTATGTTGATGTTAAACAGAATAATTAGATGACATGAAGTGTAAAACTAATGCACAATTTTTATTACATGATGAAACATAGAAACAGTGTAGGTACTTGCAGTTTTTACTTACAATAAACAATTGTTTTTACTGGCTTGACTATCTCCCCTAAGACTTTCTCGGTTAAGATCAAACTGTTTAAATGCAAACTTTCTTGGTTCTCAAGAAATTTTGCGTATACTCAGAGCAACATGCACTACCCATACGACAGGTCATTCTTGTTAAAACATAGATAAGGTCATAACCTCTAAATATCACCTGAAAAAGAGATCAACTTAAGGGTTTTCTGAATGATGTGTAATGTGAAACCTGTGCATATTCAAAACAAAGATATTCATATTCTCACCTTGCAGATTATTTAAAGCCATGTGACATACTTTCAAATGTTCACCCATAGTAATCAGGAAGAATTCAAAGTACAAAAGTCATCAGATCATTAGAGTGAAAACAGATGGTAGTCAATCATTGCAAGGACATCAATCAAAGGATGACCTATCCATTCACATAACCATTTAAAAATCAAAGAATTGAGAGTAATCTGTGGGAAAAAGGCAATAATCTCATGAAGAAAATCTGTCAAAATGTTCATCACTCTTGGAATATGACATGCTAAAAGATAGGCATGCTGAGGTAATGATCAAATGGGAAGCAAGGTCTCATTGGATGTAGTCTAAGTGGGTTTGGCAGTACTCGTGTTCTAATGCTTAGTTTGCGTTCTCTTCAAGTGTTGTATTTTAATTTTTTTTGTACCTTCATATCAATTTCTCATAACAAGTTTACTCTTTATTATACAATAGTGATATTTGTAACTTGTTAAGTTATTCCGAAGTGGAATTATTTTATATTTCTACCTGTTTATGGAACTTATTACTTCATGACAACA